TCATTTTTTAAAATGAAAGAACAATTACAAAGTTATATGGAAAAGCAAAGGAACTAGTATAACCAAAACAAAAATGAGAAGCAATAAAATTAGACTTGCTCTCCTCTTTCAAACCTTTTATGTAGCCACAGTCATGAAGACTGTGTTATTGGCAGAGGGGTAGACACAGACAAACGCGAGTGGAATAGAAAATCTACAAATAGCCCTGCTCTTTTGGTTGTGGTACTTGATATTTGACAGCAGTACAAAAGGGGATAATAGATAAAAGATGGCCTTTGCAGTAAGTGATGCCGGAGCAACTGGTTATTTAAGGAAGAATCTTGGAAACTTCACATCTTATGCACAGTTTAATTCAATATGGACCATAGTTTAGTATATGTGTTGTGAAGAGCGCACAATATGGACCATAGCTTCAGATGTAAAAAATAAAGGTAAAGATTTTAAGAATTTTTATAGAAGAAAGTCTGAGACCCAGAGCTTAAGTGCTTTTAGACATAACACTGAAAACAAGATCTTTAATGAGGGAAAAAATAAATAAATTGGATCGGATCATCAAAATTATAGCCATTTGTTCCGCAAAAGACACTGGTAAAACAATGAAAAAAACAGCTTAGGCCTGGAATAAAATACACTGACGTAGGAGTCATAGCTAGGATTTAAAAAGAACTCTCATAACTCAGCAGGAAACAACAGCAAAAATTAAAGCAACTTTCCAATTAGGAAAATGTCAAAAAGCATTAAGAAATTTCTTACCAAAGAGTATGAATGTGTGGCTAGCAAGTAACCACATGAAGAGATGTTCAGCATTGTAGCTATTAATGTAATTGAGATCACAGTGAAATGTCACTTTATCCTTGTTAGACAAGTTAAGTGAAAATGTAGTGACAGTACCAAATTGCCAAATACCAGTGAAGATGAGAAGCAGCTACATCTTACCTCCGTTTCTAATGGATATGTGTGTGCATGTATCTTTTAGCACCCAAGGGAACTGGGGCCAGGACCCCCCTGTAGATGCCAAAATCCAAGGATGCAAGTCCCTTACATAGGATGGCAGAGATTTGCATGTAACCTGAGCCCATCTTCCTGTATGTTTTCAGTCATCTTTGTGAATTATTTATAAATGCTGTGTGAACATTTATCCTATTGTGTGGGGAATAATGACAGTGAATGCACATGTTTAGTACAGATTTAATTTTTCTCTTCCAAATACTTTCACTCTTCAGTAGGTTGTATATATGAATGTTGAGACTGTGGATATGGAGGGCCGGTTTATATACATCAAGAGAGGTTTCTTTTAAGGAACTGGTTTATGTAATTGCACATGTTGCTAAATCCAAAATCTGGGCAAGCTGAGGAAGTGCCAGTGTTAATGGTTTAGGTCTGAAGCCTATCTGCTGATAGAATTCCTTCTTTCTCATGGGAAGTTGATCTCTTTTTGTATTAAAGTCTTTATCTGATGAATCAGGCCCACCGTCATTATGGAGGGATCTGGTTTACCTAAAGTCCACCAGTGTAAATGATAATCTCACCCCAAAAACATCCTCCCAGAAACACCCAGAGTGATGTTGGCCCAGTACCTGCACTGTGGCCCTGTCAAACTCACACATCACGTTAGCCATCACCTCATGCAGTCTATCAGTTACACTCTTGGTCATTTACTCCAGAGAAACAAAAGCTTTTACATTTACCCTCAAACCCTTCCATAAGTGTTTGTAGTGTTGTATTTATAACAGCAAGAAAAAAAAAAAAAAATACAGCAGCTCTAATGTCTCCAAGTAGGTGAATGGATAAGCTAAGGTGCGTCCAAGCTATGAAATCATAGTGCACAATAGAAAGGAATGAAGCACTAATAGGTACTACCATAGCTGGGGTGATCTCAAGGGGATTGTGGTTAAGTGGGGAAAAGCCAATCCCAAAAGCTGCATCCTGTGTGATTCTGTTTGTGTAATACAGGTGCAACATTCCTAATCATAAACCAACAATACTCCGAAACTGAAACTCTGAATGTCAGCAAGGTACCGCAAGTAGAAATTTGCATATCTGAGTGTGTGACTGACTTGTCACAGTCAAAATTCAGGTGCCCTAAAAATGTTGTATAAAGTTCCTTCATGAAGTGGATTTGAAGTTGTGTGTGAACCATAACTTAGTGCTTTCTAGATTTAGATTTCAGAATAGGTCATTGTATGTGTACAGATGCTCCAAAAGCTGAAGCACAGCTGGTCCCAGGTATTCTTGGATAAAGAACACCGAACCTGTATTCTTACAATGAGAACAACATAGAAATGGGAAACAGTTTATTCTTTATTTTGTAAGGGGCAAAGATGGGTAGCTTGGGGCAGGTTTTTGTGTTTGACAACTAGTTCTTTACCTCCCTTGAGGTGGTGGTCATGCAATCCACGCATGTGGTGACACACACAGAGTGCTTCCTTCCATAGGCAGTTCCCTGCTGCTGGTCTTGCACAGTAGACAGTTGCATCATTGGTAGCCTCTGAGGGACACTGGGTGAGGCCCCTGACTTTGCAACTTCCTAGGTGGTTTGTTTCAAAGTAGTGTTTTAAAAAACTATTTTGAGCCGGGGAGATAGCTCAAGGGAATAAACGCTTCCCTGGCAAGAGCAAGGGCCTGAGTTCAATCCCCGGTTCCGCCAAAAAAAAAGAAATAAAAAACTATTTTGAAATTTCTTTTATTTTATTTTGGAAAAAGAAATTTTGCACATACTGAAAATTTATTGAAACATCCTGAAGGAATTGAGTTATTTAATACCTGAATTGAAATACTAATGAATCTGTATCTTTGTTTGCCTTATTTTAAATGCTACCTCAAAATGTTATCTCTGAACTTAAATTGCTAAAAGAGTCTGGTTTTGTTTTTTTGCTCTCTTCTTGTATTGGGGGTGGAACCCAGAACCTTGCACATGCTAGGCAAGTGCTCTGCCACTGAGCTACATCTCCAGCCTTTTAAAAAAGTTTTTTAGTGAATTAGTAAGTTCCCAAAGCTTACCTCCGACTTATGATCCTCCTGGCTTGGCCTCCTGAGTAACTGAGATTACAGGTACCTGGCTAGGAGTTCTTTACTAGGCTGTGCAAAGACTCCACTTGATAGATTTTGAACAATTTAATCATTAGGTAACTTAGTCGGTATCTGTTAATATAACCTTAACATGATCCTATTATTTTTTATACATAGTTAAATTATTTGAATGATACAACTTGAACGGCTGTTTAGACTTTTTCTAGCATGCTTCCTGGTGAATATAATACCGTGTCTTTTATTTTGACCAGTGTTCTTCAGCACCCAAATATTCTCCAGTGTGTTGGACAGTGTGTAGAAGCAATTCCCTATCTTCTGGTGTTTGAGTTCTGCGACTTGGTAAGTTTTTAGTAGCAATTCAAATTGAAGAGATGAAAGGGTTAAACCAGTGTGGTTTTTTGTTTTTGGTGGTACTGCATTTGAACCCAGGCCTTTTACACCAAGTGGCATCCAAAGCCCGTTTTCTTCAGTATTATAGATTAAACCTACCTTGTTATATTCCCAGTTCTTTTTATTTTTTAGTCTGAGATAGAGTCTTACCGGTTTGCCCCGATAGGCCTCCTAGCTGTAGTTTTCTGCCTCAGTCTCTTGAGGAATAACTGGGATTACAGGCATAAGCCACCATGCCCAACTATCTAACTGTTTTCGAGGTAAAAATAAAAATAGTGGTTTTGGATGGAAATATTTTTATGTCTGTCATCTGCTTGAAGATCATTGCCTTTAGTCATGCATTAAGCAACACCTGTACATTGTTTCATTTTACTCCTTGCCCTGTGCTAAGTTCTTTACTCCCACTACCACACTGAATCAAGAAAACCCAGAGTTAGGTACTGGTATTTGTCCATACTTTCTGCATGATTAAAATAAGGCTGGGGCGGGGCAGCGGGGAGTCTTGGAAATATGTTAACACACAACAGTATTATGCTCCTCTGAGAACTGGAGGTCTTCACTTGGGCCTGGCATTTTGAAATTCTCATTTTCCCCATTGGGGAAGCCCAAGAAGACTCCTTACCAATGGAATACCCATAATTTGGCAGCTTGAAAACAGTGAGTATATTTATTTTTTTAAATTTTTTTCCCATAATTTTATTGATAAACAAATAGCAATGAGACAGTTTCAAATCAGATATTTATATTTTTATTTTGTTGTTTTTTTTTTTTTTGCAGAACCGGGGTTTGAACTTAGACCCTTGCACTTGCCAGGGAAGTGCTTATTCTACTGAGCCATCTCCCCGGCCCCTTATTTTTAATGTATTAGATAATTACTTTTCTTTTGGTACTGGGAATCAAACACGGGACCTCACACTTCCCAGGCAGGTGCTATGCCATTGAGCTCTATCCTGGCCCAGATGATTTATTTTCTGAACTGTTATGAGCATGATACTACATATTACTTATAGACTTACAGTTGGAAGTACTGTGCTGTGTGAATTTTGTGAATAATTGTAATAACCAGTTCAATGTGACAATTTCCTATAAACATCTTTTTAAACCCCATGCAGAATATTTCATCTTTTTTTAAGCCTATTTTTAACACATAATTATTATTTTCCAAAAACAGTTCATTGAATTTGTTAGGTTTTAATTTCTTTGCATCATCTTAGTTTTCAGAACATTAAAACTCTTGTCTGTGCACAGAAAATTAGGAGTACCCCAGAATAAACCCCCAGTTAATTCATGTAACATTTCCTTTGGTTAAAAAACAGGTAAGAAAGATTATGATAAATCTTGTAAATGTTTTTTCTTTAATTCCTAAATATGACTTTAATTTTCTGTCATTGATAGAGGTGATTAATTGCAAAGGATAATTAGGTAATAAACTGAATATATTGGCTTTCATTCTGTTACATCACGAGGACTCCTAAGTCTCTGTGGCTTGACTTACACCAACAGTAACTCACACCTTTTACCTGTTACTTTTGGGGCAGCTGCCATTCTGTTCTGCTAATATTCTCCGATCAGTATTTTTTCTCTCTGAATGCTGGCATGCGCGCGCACGCACACACACACACACACACACACACACACAAATATACATATATTCTAGTGTTGTTTCAAATGGTGTTGCTTCTGGGACTTTTTTAATAAGCCTGTTCAAATCTCATATCCTTCTGCATTTAGGGGTGAGGAGAAGGGGATTCAGAGGATTTGAATCAATTTTCCAGAAGCATATTAAAATCTCCATTTTGATGGTGGATTTTTCCATACTTTGCTTTATAATTCTGGTTGTTTTACTTTACACTTTTTGGTACTTTGTTGTGTAAGAAGTTCAAATTTAGATTTGGTTTCTAAAGATGTAGCTTGGTGATAGAACACTTGCCTAGTACTGTATGTGCGAGACTCTGGGTTCTATACCCAGAATTGTTAACTTTAGCATTGGTATGACTTCCTACAAGTAGTATGAGTTCCTATAAGAGGACCCTTACAAACCCAGCTCACTCCTGAGGGCTGTTTGTAACTCAGATCGTCAATTGAAGGATCAGGTTCCCCTACATAGCCTTCAAAGTCTCTTTCCTATATATGGGCAGATCTCGATGTCCTTAGAGAGACATTGGCTCAGGATTTCTCCGTTAACCCCACAGAGGGAAGGATGTTATGATGTTCCTTCTGGAACTCATTAAGGGTTAAACCTGTATCTGAGGCCATCTGGAAGCACAAGTTGCCAGCATTCAGGTCATAACTCAAGACATTGGTTGTAAGTTAAAACTAAAATTCTGATCATAAACCAAGTTGCTGCTGAGTCAAGCCAGTAACTTCAGGGTCCACTGTAATTTGAACATTTTAGCATATGTGAAAGGACTGCCTTTAAGGTTTAGAGCATCTCTGTCAATCATTTTCTTCTGTAATTTACATCTCTTATAAATAGCCTATTGATTAACTTTTTATTAACTTGGCAGTCTTAGTCTCTTAAAATAGAACATTTACATTTATTGTATTTCATGAGATGTTTAGAACTTTCTCTGCCTAACCAGTATTAGTTTTCTTCCCTCTACCACTTCTTCTGTTTTCTTTTAGATTCTTGAGTTTTCTTGCTTCTGTTTTCCCCATTTGCTAATTTGATTTTTAGATGGTGTTTCTTGATTTTGCATGTTCTGGAAAATACAACATGCGTATTGAGTTTAGTTTTTTAACCCTGCTGCAAAGAACTGGGATCTCTGGGAACTCTCATTGTATCTAAGGAAAGTAGAAATTAAACTTACTCTCTAGGCTGTTCCCATGGCCTCTTCTGTGTTGGAGCGTGATTGTTACTGAACATTTACCATCACAGGGCAACTGAGGCAGCCCTGAGACTTAGAGGTACAAAATAGTTTTGTCCTCTAGATGTCACAGATAGAGGGGACAGTTGTGGTAAGCTAGGCTTAAAAAGCAGGAGTTCTTGATAGTGGTTCTGACCGCTCTTATTATGTTCTGTGTTATTTATCGAAGTATGATCAGAGCAGTAATATTTGTGGTCCTAGGCTGTAACAATAAGGAAATAGCATTTTCATCTAGCTCTGTGTAACCGACGTGCTCGATGATTTCAATGCTGGCAAAGCACCGAGAGAAAAAGATATAAGGGCATGCCTCATGTGAGAGGGCAAGTCTGTTAGCCAGTAGTCCTTGTTGTCAGTGGTCCCCAAGCTCCTGATGTGGAGTATAAACAACAGTTGAAACACACACTTGGTGAGGGAACATGAACAGAAATACACCAGGAAATAAGCACCTGTATTATTATTCTTCAGTGTTACATGTGTCTCTTCTTGAAATACAGACAATATTTTTGGGTCTTTTTCCTGGAATGCTTAAAAAGACTGGATGCTCAGCTTAATGATTTCTTCTGAATGTGTTCAGGAGATGGGTATTTAGTGCTATTTGAATTTACTTTTTACTGAAGCTGCTGGTTCTTTGAAGGAATAGTAATGTAATTTGTTTTTATAAAGAAACACTTAAAACAGCCAAATACATAATTCATTTACTGTTAGTGCACATGACCCAGTTCTGACACGACTCTACTATATTCTTTGTATCTTTCTCACTGTACAAGCATAATGTTTTGAAAACATATGAATGTATTTGTTTTTATTAACATTCCTATAAGCTTTCCCCAACATGTTTAGATCTTAGATTTAAATATGTATGTATTATCGGGGTTCTTAAATTAAGTGTTCAAGCATATTAAATTCCATTAGCTTTCATACTTTTTAGTTGAAGATTATGCACATAGTTCTCCACAATTAACAGAAGTGACTCCTTAAAACATTTTATGTGATACATTTAAGTCTGCCAGTGGATTTCTTATATGAAGACTTACATTTACCTCAGCTCTCATCCGCCCCAGAAACTTCTGTTGGCAATGTGGAGGTAATACCTAGTTCTGATTTCAGTGTGCCACCCAGTGGGACATTGATCAACAATAAAATTTTAAAACAACATTGTTTTCAGGGAAAGGAAAAAAAAAAAAAAAACAACTAAAATTATAATTACTGTATGATCTAGCAATTCCACTTGGCAAATCTGTTCCAACATGTACTTGCCCTCTCCAGGTCACCGTAGCATCAGTCACAGTGGCCAAAGCATGAAGGAAGCTCAGGTGTCCACCCAGGGGTTAGTGGATAAACAAAGCAGGAATTTACATACAGTGGACTATTATTTAGCCATTATAAGGGCTGGGGAGATAGCTCAGTAGACTAAGCACTTGCTTGGCAAGTGCAAGGTCATGAGTTAGATCCCCAGTACCCAAAAACAAACAAACAAATGGCCTTTAAAAGGAAGAAATTCTGGCACATTACAATGTGGATCAACCTTGAGTACATTATGCTAAGTGAAACAAGCCAGTCACACTCACACTCTGTGACCCTTGCAGGACTTTGTCTTCAGACAGAGCAGAAGGATGGTTTTCATGGACTGGAGGGAGGAAGAAAATGTTATCTGGATATAGAGTTTCAGTATTGCAAAATTTTAAAATATTGTAAAGGGATGGTGGTGGTGATTGTACAATAAAGTGAAGATACATTATAGATAGAGTTGTACACTTATAAGTGGTTAACACGGTACATTTTATAAGTTTGGAGGGGTTTTTGGATACAAAAATGCTTTGACAGTTGCTGCTTGTTAAGGTGCTATCAGGTGTTGCTAAGAGGAGGCTTATGTGCCCTTTGAAGGTTTCTGAGCACTGGTGGCATGGCTGATCTTGGACCAAAGTACAGCTGTTTAGTTTTGGTTTTTTGTCTTTTTGAGACAGGGTTTTGCTCTTTAGTTCAGATTGGCCATGAACTCACTTCGTAGCCCAGGCTGGCCTTGAACTCATGGCAATCTTCCTTCCTCAGCCTCCCAAGTGCTGGTATTTATCAAAATAAAAC